AACAATATTCGTAGAATAAGGTCTAAAAATCTACTACGAACTGGACGGTTCATTGAGATCGCAGATCTATCGGAAAACCGATCAGCCAGAAAAACAGATGAGCATGGCTTATAAGATCGAATGTAGCGACCACAACAACCTACATCGGGAAAAACGGAGGTTTGGAAAAAGGGTTTCAGAACACCAAGCAACTCTGAGAAAAGGGAAAACGAAGCATTCTGGCCTCGATTCCTCAGCAGTCTACTTGAGACACCCGTTTAGTGCGACGAATGTCGCTTCCATTGATTAGGATAGAACAAACATTGGACTATTAATTAAACAATTGTTACACATTTTGGCTAACAAAACTCGACCGTGCAACGAAGGTACGAACTCGCCTCGTCTGAGTGATAGCCGGAATACCGGCCAGTGTGTCCAAACGAATAAATGGAATATACAAAAACTTTCTACGTTAACTCATAATATCTGGCTGTCTCATGTGCGTATTATAACCCTGATGATGAGAAGCTGGTGTGCGGCGTCGAAACGAGTCGGTAAACAAAGGATTTTTTACATCGCCCTCTTCAACTGTTGTCGGAAAGCAAAGATCATTAACTCTTATCCAGGCCGACAACGGATCGATTCATCCTTCCATAGCTAACTTAATTGTTATTCAGTCATTTACATTGTGCGCAGTTTAATTTTATACGCGAAAAGCAAATTTTTCGGCGATCAAGCTGAAGGAGCACAGTTTCAACTTTCACCAGAGGATCCACACAACAACCCCACAATAGGACGTTACCTTTATCTTCGCGTTTTCGACCGCCACCAGCGATGCTTCCTATTAATCCGGTGAAATCTTCAGCTTTCAGGTTTAACTGCTGGTAGTATTCCGCCATTCTGACTGCTGATACTGCCTAAAAGACGGCAGTGACGTTTCAGCACTAAACTGGGCAAAGCAAATAATTCGCGATGTTATAAATCGTACGGAAACGACCGTCGCGCAAAATTAAGCAGTCGACTACCCAGACTTTCCTCAGAAAATACTAGACTTTCGCATCTGTAAAAAAGCATGATGAATATTCGCGCAACCCACGAACCAGTAGGTAGCTGGGAAGTTCTGAGGCAACTTACGAAGCTTCGTGAAATCACTCACTACGTACCTACACCAACAAGTGACCTCAACGTGCAAACATTTAGTAATAACATGCATGCATTTTCTAGAATGCCAAATTCCGGCAACACCTCAGGACTGATAAAACAAAATGCAGCGGTTAGAGAAGCTTTTTGTAAATGTCAGTGAAAAAGAAGCCAATCACTGGGTTGGGTACATAACCTCGCAAAATTAAGTATCTTTTGCGAACTATATAACGAAAGCTAAAATACCTCAGGCCGTACGGGAGAGGACGTTCAGTCGAAAGATCAAGGGTTTGACTCCCGGTCCAATCACTAATCTTTCTTCGATTCGATGTAGACAAATATGTACTACTTTGCAGAAACGAAACATGAAACTACACAGCACGGTTGCCACGTAACAGTATCGTAAGGCAGTTATGCAGAGACCATCGCCACGCCCGAACTCTGCTAAAAAAGACAGAGTTTCACAAATGGCGGCCCACATGGAAACGTAAGACAAACCGCCCAAACAACTACAAAACTATTTTCTACAGGAGCTCTTGCAGAACTACAAACCGAAAACTGCCCCGTTCAAAGTTCGACCACGGCTTGAGTCGAACAGCACCGCAAACAGTGACAAAAAACTAAGCTCTTCGTTGAAAATCCAGGAGGTATAAAACGAAACGTGACGTAAAATCATTCTTACCGTTCTACGATATTCATCCTGATAAGCAAACACCCACTGTGTTACATTTTCCCGATATAATATCGATGCTTTAATCAAGACAGGCAAAGCTAAATAACTAAGAACCCACAACACGTATAAAACAGACCGGAAAAAAGTATAGCAAGGCCGTCTTATACGAAATCAACATCTGAATGAAGATAGTAAGAATGTAATAAATACCATATCCTGAAGCATAGACAGTAACGAGTAAAACACTACCCCAGTCAATAAGTACGGCAAAAGTTGTATCTATGCAGTGTATGTACAAAAAAAGCCCATAGCTTACTTAGAGGGCTCTTTAGGCATCTACTAACACGGGGGCAGTGCCGCAACATCGGAAAACCATCTTTGATGAAGGTATGCGCGTAATTAACCACCAGTCTATGAACCCATATCCCGACACTGCTGACACAGTGCATATAGAGGATTGAGTCTCTAACACACCAAGGATACGACCGGAGTCGCTCAGTTCGGTAGAGCGTCAGACTTGAAACTTGAAGGTTACGGGTTCGAGCTAAAGTTCGGTCTGAGCTTCTTTATTCTGAGGTTGATAAATATGAGCACCACTCTGCTGCAAAGAAACAGTAGACTACATACTATGTTTGTCACATAATCGTAGGAGGTCCTATAATAATGAATATTTCTGGGCTGTTGGCATGGAAATGGAGATAAGCACCACGCCGTTTACATTGTGAACAGAAAGATGCTAAAGATGGTATCACGATGAAAGTATAAGACCGAAAATCCAACGGTTACAAGCTTTCTTTTTCTTTTTTCCATCAAAGATAACGAACGATTGCTTAAGTTAATATGAATAATGTCATATTAATCGATGTACTGCGGGTGCTATGAAACACCACGAAGTTTTGACCATTTTAAACGATCCGTCTTATATCAAACAAGGGGGTTATACAATATCGGTATAAAGTCTCATGTAAAACTAAATGGACAAACTTCATGCATTTTTATTACGTTTGATTTATTAGACTTTCAGTTTAACGATAAGGACCCGACAGGATAAGTGCTTATCGAAAATTACTGACTGATTTTCAGTTTTTCACGTAATATTCTAATCACACTGATAACAAACGTGTAGCCACTAGATCAACTGGCCAATCAGTCAGTCAGATCATTCTTGCGTACGTGAGTCGTGTTGGACTATGATGAATGCGAAGGTTCTAGGCTATTTCATTCCAAGTACAAATCTGAGTTATGGTAATGGGATGTAGAATGGAATGTCTGTCTTCCTTATACTTCACAATAAAGCGATTTCGGACACCCTTCTTCGGTGGGATGTTGATCTCGATTTTCATGCCATTAGCCAGAACTGCCTTATTTTACAGGCAAGTCGGCAGCAGCTGTGTGGTAAGCATACTGTGTAATCGCATGTTTCCATTTCACAGAGTTGTAATCATTTATCGACTTCATAAGAAAGAAAGATGAGTAATCAGACGTTACCCCTCGGTTCCGAGTCCGACGCACTATCGACTGAGCAATACAACTGTACCGGCTGACTGTAACAGACAACGGCGCAGATAAACGTTATGCAAAATATACAAAACCTGTAAACTCATAGGTACCGTAGAAGTCTGAAAATAAATTCCAATAAGCAATTCCTAGACGTAAAACGACAGACTGAATTGAAAATGAAGTCACGTTTGAATCATGTGATTTAAATGTTGTGCAAGTATACGATGGTTTACGATACGAACAATCTGGTGAATGCAACGAGTTCATTGGACAAACAGCTTGAAAATGAAAGTAAAAATCGGAGACGGTCAGAGGATGACATACGCACAGGATAGAAAACGAACTCGAAGCCGACACAATGACTGCATAATGAAAGTAGCGTGACAAAACATATTTTAACGTCCCCCGTCTCTAAACAGAATAGTGAGTGAAGAGTTTCGGTTCTTGCTCAAATAAGCAATCGAGAATCGGACCGTGTTAACCGACAGCGGGCCGCATTTTTTGCGCAATGACTAGGAATGCCTGAAACAGCTTTCCGCTGAAGGGATCTCGCTGCAATCATGCCATTGCAGTTCAATTCATCATTCTCACCGAGACTTGTTTCGTTCGCCGCAAATAATTATGATCCTGAAAAGGCAGTGTCAGTGAGCTAAGCAACGCGACAGGATGAAATCATTTCATTCATGACTAACGCCGTAAAAAACAGTGGCGCGCAGCAGGTAAACATAGGTACTAAGCAGTCAAAGACGAAGTTGCGTAAATCTTTATGACCGGTGTATCAACCTGAAGAAGCCGGTGTAAAACAAGCACACCAAATAAGTACACCATATCTGCCGAGCATTAGTGCGTTTAACAGCGAGAATGTGGCACTAAAGTACAGAGACAGAATCGTCCGTTCGAAAACCTGCACAAAAATCAACGACTTGTCATGTTTTCATCTGACTGAAAGATCAACAAACGACTGAATAAGCAATTATCAACATCTTTCCTTGTCACTTCGTATTCGGTTAAAAGTCATTCATTAATCCGCTGACGCGTAAGAATGTACGCGAACCGGTGCAGATGGCCTGCTGTACGACCTCTAGTCGATTAAGAAGTGAAAGTGAAAAATAACGCGTTCGTCATTGGCAGATTTCCGTGCATCGTATCATGGTTAACAGACCTTCGTTTACGCTGTCTATGGCGTTAGTCTGCAATAGCCTTGATCTTGATTCTGCGAGTTCATGCAGATTTGCTGGCGTACGGTTGCACGACTTACAACTGATCATCGGCACAGTTGATCGCCATGTTACCTGTTATCATTGCATCTGACGTGTATAAACTTTTCCACACCACATCATACACCGAAGTAAATGAAATGGTAAAGGTTGGACGCTGTCAGTCACACAGTTTTAGTCAGTCAGTCAAATTCACTTTAACTGAACTTAAGTACACATAATAAGTTGCCGAAACCTAGTTATAACAAAGGAACAGATACAAACAATATAAAAAGTGGTGAAAAAGTGCATCCCAATCAGGCTGACCAGAGTCTCGTTCAACACAACTGTTTTTTGGAATTGAACGGAGATGATATCTCTCGAATTTATCTAAAGCACAAAACGCGAACCGCATCTCTTCCACATCAACCTCTTTGGCAAGTAAGTAAAAGAACCGGTGAGCACTGCAAGTGAATGAATGAACAGAGGGTGATCCGTTGATTTACCTAGTTGACTTCGTAGCCATAGTATTTTTCTTCTTCACGAACAAAGGTTGAAAACATTTAACCTAAGGCAGAACTGTCCCGCTAGCCTAAATCTCAGATTTTCAGGCAAAATCATGAGGGGCAACTACGGGAAACTTCTTCGTAATTAACTTTGGTATGCATTCGGTACTTTGGTCGTTGACCGCTGACTGACTCCGCGAAATATGAATTCGTTAATAATTCAAATCGCTGCAATTACCATAACATTTGTTAGTCATCTCTATATGCGGTACAAGGTGAAATTGGAAGAAGCGAGATTAGACGATGTCTTCAAAGAAACAGAACAAAATGTTGCCCGCGATGAGTAATAATGAGTGCGGATTTTACATTAATATACGAAGACGAGAGATCTGACTGTTCCTCGTCCATCGAGAACAATTAATCGCTTATGTTCAAACAAAAAGGATGAATTTTGGAAAGAAAAATTTTAACAAATGGTGCAAGCAGACTGGACAAACAATGATAACGAATCCTTAAAATGAACCGAAACGGAACGCCTCGACCTAGGCAAGTTGAAAGCTTCTGAGTCGCGGAGGAAGCGTGGAATGTTTTGGAATACGATATTTCTGTAGGTGGCAATTCATACGCAGATGTTGCCGCAGACTGATCAGTAGGCCAGATGTACGAACATTAGCTTAAAATTTCGCTAAGTAAGGGATTATCCGGACCGTCTAGGATGTTTATTCCCAGTCTTAGCACTTCGATAGAAACACCATCTGCAACTCTTTCCGCTACTGAACGAAGTGGGTTGCCACTGAGCGCATGGCGATAAAATCCTTCACAAGAATTGACTCCGATGAAGCCGAAGGCGAGTCATACAAAAGATGACAAACTTTGGCATCACG